GGGGGGGGGGGGGGGTTGTATTTAAGTGACATTTTAAGAAAACTTCTGTGAGTGGAATTTGTTTTAATTAATATAAATCGTATAGGACAATAATGGTATAAAAAAAAACCCAAAACCATCCCGAAATACAAGAAAATTGAGTACATGTATTACCTCCACAAAAAGCCACCTAACAAAGTTTATTCTAACTTTGTACACTCACAATGCTACAAGTAATTAAGACGCCCACGTTGTAACTATATGTTCACATTCGATGTAAATAGTTATGTTAAATAATTTTATTAAATTTATAAAATAAAATCATAATACATTAGTTTTATTTTTCATTTATCCTTAAATTTTTATAAAAGAGGTAAAAATACTATTTGATTTTAAAACTTACACATTAATATCAATAAAATTAACAAATGATAATTGAAAAATTTAAAAGACGAAAGAGAACATTTATTTATCAATTTTTCTTATTATTCAACAACAAATTTTAGTAAAAATAAAGATAAAAAATAAAATTAATATTTTATAAAAATTGTAATCTTCTTTTATAACTAGACCACATTTTCATCTAAATTATATCTTATAATTAAGACAGGAGGAAGTATACCATGGTAACAATCCCACCATCATTGAAGAAGTTATTCCAATGCATGATAATGGTTTATTTGAGAGCATAATAGAAGATACAGAAACACTCTTTGCTTTTAATCCAACTCCATGATGGAACCTTCACCATCTTTGACATCTCAGACAAGTGTTGTTTCTTCATATAAAATATCTCAAAACACATGTTCTTCCAAATGACTAAGATAATTGGAAACCATGCAAAGCCATTTCCTATTTGCATTTTATATTAAGCCTCTAAACTGCAAGGTATGTTCTAATATCAGATTTTGCATAGTTGCCTGAACTCCCCACCATCCCAAACAAGCTATCTATAGTGGATGGAGCATATGGTTGGCACTCAAGGAAAATATGTGTACTTGATTCCTTCCTCGCATTGCTTAAGTGCTTAACCAGGTTTGTTTTGTTAGAATTCTATATATCTTGTGAATGCAAATCCTTAGATCTTCAAAACAACACCTCCCTTTGCCATATTAGATTATAAGCATGATATTTGTTGTGTTTGTTGAAAATGCTGCAAATTCCTAGAATAAGCTTCACGTTTGCTGGAAGAGATCTTAGAAATATTGTGAACTTTCCTGATTATTATATATTTGCATTCAATATAAACAATAAGATCTTATTCTTTTTTTAAAAAAATTTTTTAAACATCTTTCTCTTTTTCTTAAAATGCATTATGCACAACTAATTATCACGGAACCAAGTTTATTAAATTAGAAGATTAAAACTTAAATTTATATGTGTTTTGACACAAAATATAGAATAAAATTGAGTTACAAATCTATTATAATTGTGTTATGGTTATGATGCAGTTACATTATGGAGTTTTTAGTGATTTAATAACAATTGCGAATAGTTAGAGTTGTAATGAGTACAATAACAATAATATTGTGACCGTAATTTAAAACCATGAATGGGAAGCGAATATACTATCAGCACCTCCTCAATCAAATAAAAGCTACATTAGCTTCTCCAGAAGCATTCACGTCCACGTTCTGATTAACCTCTTATTCAAATAAATTCCACTCCAACATTCCTGTTTTCTACTATTCTTGTGGTTCAAAATACTATTAGTAGTATCAGAGAGTTCGATTATTTACTAGACATAAATATATTTTTTAACTAGTTTAAAAATATCCAATTATATTCTACACTACATTTAAAATACTTTCTCAATCTATGATCACTATCAATCAATTATCATCTATCTTAGTTCCTGTCTTCATTAGATAAAACTATGATTTTTGGAATGTTAAAATGAAGACACTTTTTTACTTACAAGATTTATGAGATATTATAGAAAATAGGTTCATTATTCTAAAAGACACCTCAATTTTTACTTCAACTTATAGGGAGGAGTTGAAGAAAATCAAACAGAAAGATTGAATAACATTATTTACTCCTCAACAAGCAGTTGCTGACACAATTTTTTCCTAAATAATGGATGTCACAAATGCAATGGAAGCTTAGAACATACTACATGAAGCATTTCAACAAAGTAACGAGGTACACAATATTAAAATTCAATCTCTAAGACAAGAGTTTAAGTTAATAAAAATAAATGAGTTTAAGACTATAAAAGATTATTATTCTAGAATAAAAGAAACAATTAGTCAAATGAGAGCATATGGAGAAAATATTATTGACAAAAAAATTGTTGAAAACATTCTAATTTCTATTTTCCATAAATATGAAGCAATCGCAATTGCAATTGCAATTCAACAAACCAAAGATTTGCCTACCTTATTTGTAACGACCCGGCTGGTCACTACACACTACACAGTACACCTGAAAACTGGACAGAAAGGAACAAGTGTATATATATATAGTGTCTAGAATATACATATATACAAGGCCCAAGTCTGACTAGATTCAAATGTATCCAAAACAAGACCAAACCTGGAACAAGAAAAGTTATGTCGAACATTAGATGAAGCCAGATAGTCAACTCTATTAAAAGAACAGTTAAGGTAAAGCACATCATGAGAACCAGACAATTCAAGCTAATTGAATAGACAAAGTATAATATGTGCACCAGACGACTATGAGTCCATATCAGATGGATGTGTGTCAAGAACAACCTCCATGCTTCATTTAGAGTTATCATGTTGATGAGTGAAACGCTCTGATCAATGTTATGATGAATAATCTTGCATGGAATCTCATTTGTTATATTACTTATTTTGAAATAAAGAGTTTCTTAAAAACTATCGCTCTACCTGAAAATTCACCCTAATATCAATTCCTTTTTGATGATCATAAAGGGGGAGAAATATAAAAGAATTAATCAAATAAGTTATAAGTAATCAGAAATAGGCTAAGAAACAATCTAGTAAGGGGGAGAACATATACTAAGGGGGAGAAATACAATGAACTTGTCATATCATACAAACACTCCCTAAAACTGCTTGATCAATTATTGTCATCATAAAAAAGGGAGAGATTGTTAAGTTAGACGAAGCAACACCCAGTAAGGTTTTGAATGAGACAAATATAATGCGTATTGTTATTTCTAACAAGTATGTTAGTGTTTTAGATAAAGACATGAGTACAAGCAAACTGAAGAATAAAGAATATACATGTATTACCGTCTACACCCAAAACCAAGATGAAGGGAAAAAGCTAACAAGACGTCAACTGAGGAGATCAAACGATCAAACAAAATCAAGCCCAGCACAAGAAGGAAAATAATGAAGTCTTAGATGATACAAGACCATGGACGATGATAGTTGACAGGATGAAGACTTAAATACACAGACGAAAACCAAGAAGGCTGGATTGCGTCTGAAGTCACAACGAGAAGAACTACCTAGCATCCACACTCTCAGAAGAACACATGAAGTCATCAAAATAGAAGAAGAAAGAAGAGCAAAATGGACTAGCACCTGTCCATAAATCAAAGCTGCATGTGTTAGAGCAAGTACACCTACCAGTCAGCAAAGGACAACGCATCTGTAGCTACAATACTAGAGAAGTACAGAGATATCTAGGTCATCATTAATGTCAAATATAGAAGAAAACAAACGGTACAAAAGACTTCGTGAAACGTAGATTTAGCAAGCAAACATTTAATGCAAGATCAGATGCATTAAATGCAAGAATCCACGAAGCCTGTGCAAACCAACAAAAAAAAGAATCAAATGATGGCTAGTCAAGCATCAAAACTAGGTTTTCTCACGGACAGAAGAACATTCAACAAACACCAGATGAGGACTACTACCAAAAAGAGACATTGGAGTACTAAAAGAAAAGACAAAGCGAGACCAAACTTGGAACAAGAAAAAACTGTGGCGAACATCAGATGAAGCCAAATGATCAACTGTGTTAAAAGAACAGTTAAGGTAAGACACATCTTGAGAACCAGACAATTCAAGCTAATTGAATAGACAAAGTATAATATGTGCACCAGACGACTATGAGTCTAATATCAGATGATGGACTCTTCCAATGAGATCAATCATGTACCCAACTTAGAACATTTGCATGACAAATCTCTTGGCACAAGATGCACCGCCAACATTATTAAACTATACAAACTTTTTTTTTTTTTAAGAATAGTAGACGTTTAGTCATGCAAAATAATAGGTTTTGAAATATACTTGTAGTGAATTTTAAAATGAAAAAAAAATACTAGATTTGTATTGCAACAAAAAATACATATCTACTTCTATGAGAATTCACAACCATGAATGTTCCAAGACAACATATTTAAAATTGTGCTATCCATAAACAACAAAAGGAT